ATGAGTGGTGCATTATGTACTTTCATTATTTTGTAAAAATTGGCGAATACTGAAACTTTCTTTTCCTGTCTAGATGTCTGTGTAATTGTTATTTATAATATATTGTTATAATATTGCATCAAAATAATTTAAAAATGTTAGAAAACACTTCCATATTATGAGATTTAAAAAATAATTTCCCATATAAAGTGAAATTAGTATCACATCAAAGTATTGAACATTTATTAATTCGCTTTACTCATCCAAAATTATCACAACCTGACTATAATATTATATAATGAAATTGAAATTGTTGGTTTATATTCTTAATTATTTTCGATACAAATAAAAACAAATCTAAAATGTCTTATAATATCATCTAATTTAAATAATCTTATTTACAACTCTTAAGAAAGAAATAATACATTGCATAATTTATAAGGCAAATAAATCAATAAATAAAATACAAGATTAGGTTATACATAGATTAATAAATAAAATACAAGATTAGGTTATACATAGATTAATAAATAAAATACAAGATTTAGTTATCAATGTATAATTATTAATTATAATATTATTATAAACATTTTTTGAGAATTTCTATATAACAACTTACTACAATTGAATATGTCTCAAGAATTTTTATATAACAACTTGATACAATTCAAAATTATATTGAATTTTAATTGCTGCATCATCATATAGCCTTTTCCCAATTAATTGGGGTCGGCTCCACGAATCTTTGTCCGCTATTCTGCTCTATTAAAGGCCATACCCTCAGTGAGGCCATAAGTCCCCATATCTTTTTGGACTATTTCCAATCACGCCCTTTTGGGCCTACTCCTTACTTTTTTTAGTTCTTCCACTTGAACTAATTTGCACCTCCTAACAGGTACTGTACTTGGTGGGCGCCATATATGGCCTGCTCACCTGAGTCTACTCTCTCTCATCTTATCACCCATTGGTATCACACCTAAATTCTCCCGAATGGACTCATTTCGAATTCTATCCCGTCTTGTCTTGCCACTCATCTATCTCAACATTCCCATCTCTGCTATACACATTCCATGAGTATATTTTTTTTTATCCGCTCAACATTCCGCCCCATAGAGCAAATCTGGTCTCTAGAATTTTGCCCTTCAGCTTCATTGGTATGTGGCGATTACATAAAATTCCAGTTGCACATCTCCACTTCGTCCACCCAACTCTAATTCTGTGTGTGACATCTTCCTCAATCTCTCATTTTTCTTGGATTATCGACCCAAGATATTGAAAATGTAGTCATTTTTATACTTCCTGGCTGTCAATTTTAACTACTTTCGTCTCTACTCCTATTATTACTAAACTTGCATTCCGTATATTCTATCTTAGTCCAGCTAATTTTAAAACCTTTGGATTCTAGGGCATCCCTCCAAAGTTCTAATTTTGTGTTGATGCCGTTTTGGGTCTCATCGATCAATACTATGTCATCTTCGAATAGCATGTACCACTATACCTCAGCCTGTAGGCGCCTTGGTAAGTCGTCCATACTTAATATAAAGAGGTACGAGCTCAATACTGACCCTTGATGTAGACCTATTAGCACTGAAAACTTATTTGTCTCTCCACGAGTTGTTTGTACACTAGTTAGCGCTCTATCATACATCTCTCACCAAGTCAATGTAGTGTCTGGAGACTCCTTTCTTTTCCAACACCCGCTAAATCAAATCTCGAGGTACTCTATCATAAGTTTTTTCTAAATCAATAAAGACCATGTGGAGGTCTTTTCCTTTCTTCCTAAACTTCTCAATCAGTTGCCTATGTAGGAAAATAGCCTCAGTTGTTGACCTTCTTAGCATAAAACCAAATTGGTTTTCATATACACTCGTTTTATGCCTCAGTCGTTGCTGTCTCTCCCAGAGCTTCATAGTATGACTCATAAGCTTGATCCCTCAATAGTTTGCACAATTCTATATGTCTCTTTTGTCCTTGTAAATAGGTACCAGAATACTTTTCCTCCATTCGTTTGGCATTTTCTTTGTTCTCAACACCTTGTTGTACAACTTCTTCAGCCAATCAATGCCAATGGCCCCATGCACTTCCAAACCTCTATTGTGATACCATATGGTCCTAAAATCTTTTCTATCTTCATCCTTTTCAAAGCCTCTTTCACTTCCAACATCCGAATCCTATGAATGTATCTATGACCTCCGCCCTCATTTGTACAAACAGTTCCTTCTACCGCTATGTTCCCATTGTGTTCATCATTTAATAATTTTTGAAAATAAATTCTCCCACCTTTGATTGATCTCATCATCCTTTATCAAGACCCTTTGATCTTCACTCTTAATGCATTTAATGTGCTTTAGATCCCTACGTTTTTTCTCTCTTATTTTTGCTAATTTGTAGGCATCTTTTTCACCTTCTCTTGTTCCCAATTTATTATATAGATTTTTATATGCCTTAAGTTGTGCTTTACTTACTACTTGTTTAGCATTTTTCTTAGCATTTTTATATTTTTTTAAGTTTTGATTGCTTGTATTATATTGCCAAGTTTATAACATGATTGTTTTTCGCTAATGGCCCTCTAAACCTCATCACTCCACCACCAAGTTTCCTTATTGGAGTTTCTTTTCCTTCTAGGTTCTGCTGAAACTTCTTTTATCACTTTCTTGATACAGTCAGCCATCTCATTCCATATTACATTAACATCATGTTCAGAGTTGCATTTTCCTTCTTCAACTAATTTATCACTAAATAAGTCTATGTTTTCATTTTTTAAATTCCACAACCTAGTTCTTGGATACCCATTACTTTCACCCCTTCTCTTTTATGTTTTGATACAGACGTCCATAGCCACGAGCCTATGTTGGGTAGTCAAACTCTCGTCTGGGATAACCTTGCAATCTTTACATGATGGTCGATCTATCTTCTTAACTAGGAAGAGGTCTATCTGGCTTTTATGTAATCGACCTTTGTTTTTAGTTGCTATATAAAATAAGTTATTGCAATAATAAAAAATTAACAATAACTTATTTATTAATATCTGTAAAAGTTATAAATATATTAATTTAAAATTACAATCTGGACTAAATATGAAAATAACATATCCTAAAAATAATAAGAGTTTATTAAATAACATAACAATGTAATATATTAAATTATGTATTTTTTTAATGTAATTATAACAATAAAAATTTCAGTATAGCAATAACAGTTTAACATAATTATACTAAATAAGTTAACAATTTTTGCATAATTATATTTATTCAACATAATAATATTAATGTAATTTTAATGTGATCATATTCACATAATTAGGATATAGAGAGAGACGCTAGGTTGGGAGGGAAAGAGAGAGAGGTTGGTATGATAGAGAGAAGCGCCTAAGTTGGGAAGGGGAGAGAGAGATGCTAATAAAGTTGGGAGGGGAGAGAGAGAAACTGAGTAAAGGTTGGGAAGGGAGAGAGAGAGAAGTGAGATTATTGGGGTGAATTGGCGGTGAGGTTTGGTGGGACTCATTCATCCCACATCAAAAAAATAGAAGAGAGACAGCTTGAATAAAAGCCTCAAGCGATATGACTCAGTGTATTAGATTTCGCACATGTGCTTGGGTGACATGTGATTATTTGACCAATGGTTGGTTCCCACTAGTAACTATTCTAAAATATTAAAAGCAGGTGGGACCAATGGAAGATTCTTATAATTTACAAAGCTCACAAGTATCACATCATATCCGGTTTCATGATGTCATAACCGGTAAGGACCGGTCCGTGACGTCATGCAAACGATCCGTGTTGTCAGTAGGCGGATTCCTTTCAGAGAATTGGCTGGATTCCCCTTTTTAACCAGATTCGGGACGACTCCACCAATACCTGATCTGGATCGAGTGAATCCGGATCGAATCGAAGATTTTTTAGACCTTGATCCTTATGTGACCCCCCCCCCTTTCTTCCTTTCCCTTCTAGAATTTTGTTTTATGCTACCCTATTCTCTCCTAGCTCTTGTTTCACAGTAGCACCTCTCTTCGCTCATTCCCCACTCTCACATCCCGTTCTCTCTCTACCCCTTCTTGAAATCTCTATGCTACACCCTTCACATCCTCTATCTCTACATACATCTCCCGTCTTTCTTACCCCTCTGGAACTAGTCATCCTCCTTTGTCCCCCCCTTCTCTTTTCTTCTCACTCGCTGTAGCACGTATCCAAGGGATATCTCATGCTCGAGTTGACATCACATAAGCTTGGTGCTCAACCCCTTCTCGACAGAGTTCCCTCGCCACATATCTAACTGTTCGACTATGGAGATCCTAGCATAACAAGATCGGATTGCGCTGCCCCCATCTCTTTTGTCTATCCTTTGCTTTTATTGTTATCTTTAATTTTTCCTATGTTGCTCTTGTATCACCTTCTCCTATACTCTGAGCACCCAACTTGTAGGCTGCCATTTTACCACTTCACGTGGTACTGTAATTCACGTGGTACTGTAATTTTATCTCTATTTATCAAAGTCAACCACTTAAAAAAAAAACCTAAAAATCCAAATAACATATCTTTTAAGTCCTAGCAAATATAAAAATAAAAAAATTAAAAATCATTTTTTAGTTGCATCACAAGGTTAAACTCTTTAAACGTTGACGAGAAATTCAAATGTTAGAACTGAATTCTACTTCAGGCATTTTGACATGAGTAGCATGAATTGTTCAAAAACAGGGCCCGCCTAGTGCCTAGGCAACCTCTCCATACCGTGCCCGGGGGGCTTGAGTGCTCTACCTAAGGCTAGGAGGCTGGGCGCCGTGCCCAAGAGGCCCCAGTGGTGCCTATGCTGGTGCCTCACACCTAAGTTGAGTTCTCTATCTTTCTTTGTCTCTCTTTTGGTGAGGTGTAGTGTGTGGGTATTCTAACCCCCCTCAAACTTGATTTTAGGGTTTCTAACGAACTTTAATTCTCAAAATATGTTGAGATTGCATAAATTCAAAAACTTTGATAAATCTTCTCAAACTTTGCTTCATTTTTAATGGATTTCTTGTGAACTACAAGAGAGGTTAGAGGAGGAAATTTGGTTGATCAGGGGTTTGATATTCATACAAAACATTGTGGATCAAAGATCGGGCAACAAAGGTTAGTAAAATATACATTTATATATGCATATATATATATATATATGTATATATTCAGAAATTAAACATATGCATATACATGAAAATGTTTTACATATGTGTATATGCAGAAATGCATATCCATGAAACACACGCACATGCACACGCACACGCACACACACACACACATACACACGACACACACACACACACACACACACACACACACACACACACACACACACACACACACACACACATATATATATATATATATATATATATATATAGATAGGGCCTCCTCGAAACTGAGGTGACTGCCTAGCGCTCGGTAGCCAGAACCCCCTCCCTGCCTGGTTAGCGCCCCAGCTTATTTTTCAACCTTGGTTTAAAGTTTTGGAATATTTAGATGTCCATGTTAATTACCCAAGAAAAAAATATTATTTAGATGTCCATGTTGTGGTGCAACTTGTAACAAGTATATATAACAGATCAGGGGACTTATGGGATGTGTTGAAGACCATGTTAGCTTGTGTTCCATCGCAAATTCTGGTTATAGTAAATTGTATTGATATTCAAGAAAGAGAAAAGGAAGAACTTATGTCTATGCTTGTAATGCATCTTCTAACTTTTCAATTAGACGAAAATACACCTTGCTACTTTCTTCATATTGTTGCATAAGGAAAACAAGCAGGGGTGTCTTCTAGGATAATTATCTAGTAGCTGGCCTATATATTTCTGATTTGAGTTTCTTTGCAACCTTAAGGGCCTTGCTTTTATTTCCTCTTCTAATTAAGTTGTTATTGTAAAATAAAAGAATTTATTTAAGGTTCATTTCCTGAACTGTCCCCCTCATTTCTCAACTTGCTCTTCATTATACACTATGATTTAAGTATGTTCCTATTTCTAGCCACCTCTCTTTATTGTGGAGCTAGGTTATTGTCAAAGCTAAGATGAGATTGTTCCATGCAAGGCTCTTTAGGGGCTGCAAGTCGGCGAACCATATACTCTCATCATACACTTCAGTTGTTGACTCTGTGCTCTTGGAAATGGGACCACTGAACATTAAGTGTGTTAGATGCTGGTGCTCCTTATTGATGGATAATACTTTTCTTTTGCTGGATTGTAGGTTTATAACTTATATTATACATAGACAAGCTTTTTAAAGTTCGAACTTCTTCATGCAGTCACTGTTTGGAGAGAGATATTTGAGAAAGATCATCATTGTTCATATATAATTCTCCTTGAAATGTTTTCTGATTGCCTGGTTCACTCTGATTTTGCAGGTGTTGAGATCCCCAAATTTGTAGACACGGTGACTCCACAATATAAACCTAAATTTGATGCATTGGTGAGAACAAACACAATGATTGTTCTCTTTTACATGGTCAATTGATTGATTGAGGGAGGGAGGGAGGGGGAAGGGAGGGTGCTTGTTCCTTATATTTGAAAATGTAGAGGTAAATACTAAGGTAACACACCCATTCCTTTGGAAGAAGATTGAAATATCTAAGAATACCCTATGAGGCATTGTGTATGACGAGAGACTACATGACGGACTATGTTTAAACTGGATGGCTGCAGTGCTGTCTCAACTTCTATGTTTTGTCTGCTTCAAAAAACTGGGGCATAGTTTGGTCAGGTTTTTTGGAACTCACGGTGGTGTGATTGATTTTATAACTAACGACGTTTATTCTTTGAAACTTTTGGAATTGTCAAGGTTTCTTCTGCAAACAAGAAAGGAAAACACATTATTTTTAATTTGTTTAGTACATCCAGTTGTTTACTATTTCATTTTATTTGCAGTTGGTGGAATTGAAAGAAGCAGAAGAGCAATCTGTCAAGGAGTCCAAGAGGTTGGAAAAGGAAATTGCAGAGGTCCAAGAGTTAAAGGTCAGTTGAACTCATGATCCTAATTCTTTTAAAAGATGATGTTCCCTCTTGTTATATTTGTTTAGCATGAGTTTGTTTTTTTTTGCGGAATGAAACTCAATTAACTTCTTAATAGTATATTGAAAGTTTATAAATTGAACTCTTACTATCAGAAGTTTGGATGGCAAATTGATTAGCTATGGTTTATGTTGCACAACCATAATTACATTTGATAACAATAATAGTTTTGGCTTCTCTCTCTGTCTCTTGGTGTAAAAATATGCTTGCAATTTTAGAGATCCAAAGAAAAAAAACAGAAGCACAATATGAGAGACTCCAGAACACGACATGAAGCAATGAGAATAAAGGGCAACCAAAGACTTCGATTAAAAAGAAAAGAAAATGCAGCAAATTGTAACAAAAGAAGATATATAAATGGAGAGAAACATCAAAATATAAAAAATTAACTATTCTGCCCATCCCAGACCTTTGCCAGTTGATCTAGGCACCTTGACTACTGAGTATAACTTGGATAAGTGGCAGGTTTTAGGATGTGAATTTTGTTGGTCCAAGGGAAAAGTAAGACTGTAATTGGTTCACTTGGTGATCTTAGAGAGAGAAGGACAAATCCAAGACCCTGCTTCTTTAGATAGGAAGAAGGAGCTCACTTTGAAGTATTAAAAACAAGAAAAGAAAGGAAGAAGATGCTCTTCATGGACATATGAATTAAATGGAAATGCTAATGTAAGGTAATTCGTGGAAGATAAAATATAGTGCCATGGCTACTCTATCTGGAAAGGTGGAGGAGTCCATTCATGTCCCTTAGAGGTGGTACTACATTCATGGTGGCTGCAACCTGAATATTATGGATCCCAGCCTACAATATTCACCTATCCCAATTCCCTTCCAAGATAATAGATCGCTAAGGTAAATTTGATGTCCTGGTCATAAGTATCTTCTGGTTAGATGGAGTATGGCAAGCCTAAGTCGCGTAGGGGTTTCTGAAGACTTGAGAGAGAAGCAACAACTTTATTGTTGGTTTTTGAAAAGAATCACTTGGTTGATGTTAGAAACCCATCGCGGACAGGCGTTTGTGGAGAACCCAAGGGCTACTTTGCGCATGTGGCACATGGAAATTAATTTGCACTGTATTGGTTCCTGAAAGAGGGATTTTGGGAATGTTATCATTATAACTCAAAGTTAAATTTCGAAAAAAGAACTATACGTATGGCTCATACTGAGAAATCTAGCGCTTTCTTGTCTCGTACTTTGCTAAGATGACCCACCATGTGCGCTCGAGTTTCATGCCCTTTTTATCAAAAAGAGAGCTTATTCCATCATGATGAAACTCTATTCAATTGGGACCTGAAACATGGTGTAAGCTAGGTTGTATAAAAATGATTATGGTTGAAAATTTTCCCTTATAGACGAGTAACATTATTCTGGCTTGTTGCGTAATAAAGTATCTAAACCTTTCAATTCTGGAGGGATATACATATTCTTTTTGGAAGTCCATTCATGAGAAAGTGATGTCGACCTGCTTTAGGCCAATGAGAATTGTCAACTATTCTTCTATAGTCCAAGATTTGGTCTTTCAATTGAAATGATATTCTTTCTTTTTTTTTATTCTATATCTCAATTTAAATGGCATTTTTTTTGTCAATCAATTATCTCAAAATAGCATTCTCCTTTAAGTAGTGAGTCGTGATTGAAGCAGGAAAGTTTATTGGATGCATTACAAATATGTCTGGTGGAAGGAGGGGGTTGAGCCTTCTTTTGCACAGGCAGGAGGAAGCCTTCATAGTTTATATTATATATGGTTTGTGATCTTAACCTGAAACATTTGTGCTGCACCCCAACTTGCCATTGTCGAATGAGAGGCCAAAACACTAAGAGGGATAATTTTATATTTGAGGTAGGTAAGCTGGGATTCAAACATCAAACATAAGGGAGAAGGAAGCAATCTTGAAAACTATTTCCCATAAAATACAGAGGAGCTATTCTCTGCGAATATTTAATTTGTTTGTTCAATACAACTAAAGGAATATGCTTCTTTTGACAGAAAAAGATCAGCACCATGACTGCAAATGAGTACTTTGAGAAGCACCCAGAACTCAAGAAGCAGTTTGATGACGAGATCCGCAATGATTACTGGGGTTATTGAGCATTCGGCAGGCCTCACTGAAGGGTTGACAGCCACTCAAGTAATTTTGTGTGCTTTTCTCTGTTGTCTCTTGCATTGACTATTTAATCCCTTTTTTCAAAGAACAAAAGGAAAAGATCCAATTTCTGCTGAATAAGAATTTATTCCCTTTAGTGTTGTTGTGGATGCGTGTCATCTCTCCTTTGTGGGCATGAAACCATAATAGTTGGGTTTTGAGAAGAGTCAGGAATAATCGAAGGATATTTCAGTTGAACACTTTCTTTTCCCTCACTTTGCCTTGAAATTGATTACGCATTTTCTATGAAGTGGGGGTGTTCATAATTGTCATATACTGGAAAATAAAAAGAGGACCACCGATTTGGAAATATATTATGAGCCCAATGGGCAGAAAACGAAGACGGAACAAAGAACTTTTCTTGATAGAAAAGAGCATGAATATCATTTTCTGGATGCACTTTGCGTGTATGATATTTCGTAAACAAATTGGAGATCCACCGTCTGTTGTCAATAACTGACGATGGAGATGGGTCGTGTTTTGGCCATCCACCATCTGTTCTCAGTAACCGATGGTGGAGATGAGCCGTTTTTGTGGAATAACATCTCGCATCCGTGAAAGATGAGTTGATCTTATCCTTCATTAGGTGAATATGTAGGGTGGATGACTGGTTTGTGTGCCCTACTTATGCTATTCAGTCCTGTCCTTCCGATATCTTTCGGTTGAACGGTTACAATTAAGAAGTGTGCCAGCTTACTCAATGCCTAGTGAGCATTGTCCTCTAACTGACAATAGAGAAAGCATAATACATGAAATTTTGTTTGGATAAACTATACAAAATTCATGGATTCATTGAGGTAACAAAACTCTTAAAATTTTTATATACTTTCTCTCTCTAAAATTTAAATTTTGAGTTAGTTTCTCACTCTAAATGTTTTTGAGATAGTTTCTCTCTTTAAAAATTTCATGTACTTTCTCTATTTAAAATTCGATATAGTTTAGTTTTTGAAATTTTTAATATACTTTTCTCTCAAATAGAAGTTTTGTGATAGTTTCTCCCTCCAAAAGTTTGAGACAGTTTTTCTCTCTAAATTTTTTTAGGTAGTTTCTCTCTCTAAAATTTGATATAATTTCTATTTCTAAAATTTTAATATATTTTTTTTTCTAAAATTTAAAATTCAAGATAGTTTCTCTCTTAAAAAAAGGACATTTCTCTCTCTAATTTTTTTTTTGGTCGTATCTCTTTCTAAAAGTTGTAAAAGTTTATCTCTAAAAGTTAAATAATACTTTCTCTCTGCAATTTTAAAAATACTTTCTCTCTTTAAAACTTAAGATTTGATATAGTTTCTCTCTTTAAATTTTTTTGAGATAGTTTTTATTTCTTAAACTATTTAGGTACTCTCTAAAATTTGATATAGTTTTTTTCTTAAAATATGAGATTGTTTCTCTCACTAAATTTTTTGAAATAGTCTCTCTCGAAAAAATTGACATAACTTCTTGATGTAAAAGTTTGTATGTGCTTTCTCTCTAAAATATAACGGTTTCTCTTACAAACTTAAAATTTGAGATAGTTTCTCTCTCTAAAATTTTGCGATAGTTATCTCTCTAAATAATTTTGGCACTCTCTAAAATTTTAACATACTTTTTTTCTTTAGAAGTTAAAATTTGAGATCGTTTTTTTTTTAAATTTTGAGATAGTTCATCTTTATAAAAAAATTTGGTACACACTCTCTAAAATTTTAACATATTCTCTCTCTAAAATTTTAACATATTCTCTCTCTAAAAGTTAAAATTTGAGATAGCTTTTCTCTCTAGAAAATTTTGAGATAGTTTTTCTCTTTAAAAAATTTAGGTACTTACTCTCTATAAAATTTTCATACCTACCAAATACTCCCTATGTTTTGGGTTGAGGGAGCCAATAAGTGAAATCCTTGGGCCTTGGAAATGCAAAACAATAGGTTTTGGTGTGGAAATGAAATCATAGAAAAGTAGGTCTTAGTTTTATGATTTTGATTTTTCTGATTTTAAGTATCCTAGCCATTAAACAATCCAAATGGTGGATTTTGACAATATCCATGATATTAGAAATCCATTTACCCAAACAGGCCTAAAAAGTCCACCATATGAGTAAATTAAACAGAAGAAATTGATTATCAAAACACTTAATTCTAAAAAGTCCACCATTTGAGTATATTAAACAGAAGAAATTGATTATCAAAACACTTAATTCAGACTGCCCAATTTTGATAGGAAAATTGTTGGGAAAATTACAAAAAAATCTCAGCAACTTGCCTCAATCTAATTTTTTTCTCACTTTTTTTTCCAAAATATATTTTCTATACAAGTACCCCCCAACCAAAAAAAATAAAAAAAAATGCTTGAACTACCATTCGTTACTTTTACCTTACCCACGCCTCTCTCCTCTATCTTAGAAAAATAGGGGCTAGAAAAGTAGGGGCTCCGGCATTGTGTAAATGTGCTCTGGCAGTAAGGTTTCGGTACTGTGTAAAGTGTAGTTCGACAGTAAGGTTCTGGTACTGTGTAAAGGGCGGTCCGACAGTAGGGCTTCGGAACTGTGTAAAGTGTGGTTTGGCAGTTGTAAAGGGCGGTGTGGTTCGGCGGTCCGGCAGTTGTAAATGGCGTCTGCTAGTTGCAAAGGGCGGTCCGGCAATAGGGCTCCGGAACTGTGTAAAGTGTGGTTCGGCAGTTGTAAAGGGCAGTTCGGTAGTTGTAAAGGGCAGTCTGGTAGTTGCAAAGGGCGGTCCGGCAATAGATGTTATTGGTTTCTTGGTTTCTAGGGCTCCAGAACTGTATAAAGTGTGGTTCGGCAGTTGTAAAGGGCGGTCCGACAGTTGTAGGGCTGTCCGACAATAGATCTTATTGGTTTTTTGGTTTCTAGGGCTCCATAACTGTGTAAAGTGTGGTTCGGCAACAGATGTTTTTGGTTTCTAGGGCTTCGACACTATGTTAAGGGCGGCCTGGCAGTACTCAGTTTCGATCCGGTAGTTGTTTTAGGGCGGTCCGGCACTTGTGCGTTCTGGCAATGTGATGGTGCGCTTTGGCAATGTGTACAGAAAGGGCATTTCTGTCTAAAAAAATGATTTTCTTTTTGTGTACGGGAAGGGTATTTCTGTCTTAAAAAAAAAATTACTTCTTCCCTTAGGGGTATTTGCATAGAAAGTTTGTTCTGGGAAAAGAGTGAAAAAAATTTAGATTGGGGGTAAGTTGCATAGAAAGTATGGTTTTGGTTTTTTTTTTTTCTTTTTGTAATTTTTTCAAAATTGTTTCATGCGGCCTGGACCGTATTTCTACATATACGGTAAAAAAAGTGTAAAGTACCCATCTTAAAGATAGATGCAAGTAAGTGTTCCATTTAAAAACAATGAAAACTAACAGTCTTAAATGTTTTCTTACTAGAATTGTTATTTCTAGTTTTAAAAATTTATTTATTTTTCATATTCATAATCTCCATGTTAGAGATTACATGTCTTAGAAAATTAAGTCCTAAAATCCATCTCAAAAATAGATATATTAAGAGGCCCACATTTCTACATATGCGGGCTTGGCCGCATAGAGACCAGAGCCATTTTGATAAGGGATTGTATGCTATGAGACCATTTCCATTATTACAAAGCGGCTAAAATAACTTCTAGCTGTTACATGTCAAATTGGATGCCTTGGGGTATGTCACGAAGTTCAAGAGGTTTTTGTTTTCTTTTTAAATGTTGTCTAGTCCACGATGCACTTACAACTACCAGATTTAAAATCTGATAGACATGAGTGAATTGTGATCTCCTTATACAAAAAATAAATTCTCTTTGTATGCTTTTCTATTTAATTATTAGTATTTTAAGAAAAATGTTTATATAAGGGTGAAGCCCTAAACAATTGCATTAAAGCACACCTCAAAAATTCATTGGAAAAAGTTATTTTGATGTCAAAAAATCCACAAATCGATAATATCAACCTCAAGATGCATGGATAAAAAAGGATTTCAAGTCTTGAAAATTGTCCATCTTGTAATGCATTTCTAAACCTTCAATTTTCAAGATTTTTCAAGTTTTCGCAGATCTACAAGATCCATACTATTTTTTGAGTTTTAAATTTTATTGTTGGTGTTGGAAATTGAATTTAGAGCCATCATAGAGATTTCCGTCACCGGAAGTACTTTCTGGACGAGAATTTGAGGTGATGATTTATTTTGTTTTCATAAAACCTAGTCCCGATGGAAACCTCATCTTTTTTTAAAATAGTAAGTTTAAGGCTAGTTGCTAAACTGAGTATGTCATATCCCTAAAAATGGGTCCTTGAACATATTCTACAAATGGATATTTTGCTCGTGCATGAACATTCAACTTTTCAATAAACTATTTGTGCTATAGCATTTAGATCGAAGAGAGGTGCGGCCGAATGTTTTAAAAAAAGGTCAGCTCGATGCTTAGGCGCTCCCTTAAGCGGCCTGAATCAAAATACCGCATGCCCATAACTAGGTGGCCCTACACGGGCGGATGTATCTAGGTGGACGCCCAGGTAGGTCAGGTAGGTGCCTAGGCGAGCACCGAGGATGTGAGCTTTTTTTTTTGTCCTAGATACCCAAAAGGGAAAATGGGGTAATTTTGACCCTAAAAAAGGTCTAAATAGGTTATGGGGGTGATTTTCAACTCTCAAAGTTAAAAGAAAAATTCCATAAACCCACAATCTCTTAGCTATACTTGTTTATGGGAATCACAAGTATTTTTTGTGGTTTGAAGAAGCTTCTTAAACATTTTCAGTTATTATGAAATATGGAGAGTTGGAGATTATTACTAATACAAATCCTATTAGACTTTTAAATTTTGTATGATTTGAATTTTGAAATTTTTGAACAAGTTTATTCGCGATATGTCATATGTTAGTATATAAAAAAATATGTTACAATATTTTCAAATGTAATAAATTCTAAAATTGACATAAATATATGTATATATATACTACATATCTATATAGCATGTACAACAGGGCACCCACCTAGGCGCTCGCTTGGGCACTAGGAGCCAGGGCGACGGCCTAGCGTTTTTTGAAACCTTGGGTGGGGTGGGGGAGCACGCTTGCCCGGTATGGCTACTCTCTGTCTATTTTTGGTTTTATGTTTTAACAATTAAAACCATGGCTTTTCAACGGGGGATTGCATACAATGAAATCATTTACCTATTGTACAAGGAGGTCACAATTGCTTATAACCATTCGAAGTGAAATTTGATAGCTTGTGTGTGTCACATAG